CTCACCTACTGGAGTCTAAGAGTCAACCTCTGGAGACGTGAGTCTACCTACCTTTCCACCTCTTCAAGTACGACAATCAATTTTCCCACTGAACCTGAACTAACCGCAGTGTCTTCCCCTCACCTTTCAGTTCCGGTTGAGCAGTGTTCAGAGCAACACTGGAATCTCCACAAAACTTCTCAATAAACCTGTTAAACTTTTTCCCTTTTCTCTCTGGTCTGGTTTATCTGCATGTGGGTCTGAGCTCTTGATGAAATCATGACTGCACTTAAAAAAAAAAGAAGAAATGTTCCCGAAAGCTGTTCTAAACAAAATGTATTTTTGTTTTACACTTGTGTACACAAAATGACAGATAAATCTGTCTAAGTCTAAGTTGCCTAAAGTATCTACAGTCCATTTTTTTAGTCCAGTTTTTTACACATCATGCACACATAAAAAGACTATATGAGTGTTTGATGTTATATTTTGAAATTAAATATGTTATAAAATATGCTTTTCCTTTGCAAAAAAAGTTCTGTTTTTAAACTTGCTCTGTGAATCTAAAAAAAAAGGTAATATAAAACTATGTTAGAAATAAAATGGCTTGTTTTGAAAAGTTTGTATTTTGGAATGACTCTTTTGAACAGCTCTTTGAGGCAAACATCCTAAACATCCATTTGCATCAAAGTGCCTTAAGTCCCATCAGTAATATGTACAAATTCCAAAGGTTTAATTTATCTGCAGAGCTGCTTTATGAAAGAAACATTACAGTAGTTGGTCAGCATAACTAAAATACAATAAATTGTCCCTCTTGTAGAGGGAATGTCTCCCTGATCTTGTAAATGGCATGGCTGGGTATTTGTACTTGGAACTGTCTTTACTGATTAAGTTTCATCATATTGATGATATATAGCAAAAGATTCTTCAAAACTTTTACAATTTGATTTCCTGGATTTTTTTTTACCTTAATTTTGCCTCTCTTAGTTGGATTGTGCCTATAATGAGAATAACAGAGGTCTATCATCTTTATAAGTCAGAGAATTTGTGCAATCAGTGGCTGAATCCTTTTCCCTGCTGTGTTAATACATATTATTATGTGTAGATAAAACCATAAGTAAAACCCACTCTGTCCTAAATCAATGCTAATTTCACTTAAGCAATCTGATTACTATCTTTAAACCAGTTCTTGTAGCAAGAGACAGCACAGCAACTCGATGGAATATTAAAGGTTAATGACTTTATTTTGGTACATTTCCATTTTTAAAACAATGATCCACACCAACTGTCTCTTACTGATAAAACTGTGTTGGTGGAAAAAACTGAACAAAAACAAGCAAAAAAATTAACATCACTCAGAGAGAAATAGAGGAGGCAGTGAAGAATGTCAATACCTCATGTTAGAATTCAAATTCCTAAAAGAGAATATGCTTAAGAAACAAACAATGCTGTGAAGAAAATAAAAAACATACAATGCATATAAGATTTTAATGTATAATTAAAAATACACTTGACTCATGCACCAAGTTGACAAGCTCCATCTTCTGGGAACCAGAGAACTAGCGCCATCTAAGACTTATATTCAAATATGAGGTAAGAATTCTTGTTCTGCCCATTATTTAGCCCACCCTACTTTCGCAGAATCAGCTTCTCCATTTGGATTTTTTGTTGCCTTGCAACTTTATATGTTATGAAGAGCATCCACCCAGTGCAAAGCTCACAACACTGAATGGCTCTTTCCTCAGCCTTTCCCTTTATGGCATATATTCCTCACACTTAGCTAACCGCCTCCCAGGTTATCCATATTTTCTAAACACATAAATAAAATATGCCAGATACATTCTCACTATAACTGATAAACAGCAACAATTATTTTATTGGGCATTAATGATTTTCTTCAATCAAAACTATTTACAAATCCATGCTCACTGCCTTTTGATATAAGAAGCCACACAGAATGGCTGGGGTTATGTTTACTGCTGGTTTAAAATGGCTGTTGTGCGTCAAAATTTTAATTGCAAAACTGTTCCAGACCTCAATGTCAATACACAACTAGTGTATAAATGCTGCTATGTTGTGTTAACAAAGGAGTATTTAAAGTAAGTCTCACTTAAATGCACTGCACACTAGTGAGGCCACCAAACTCCCAGCCAACTATCTGTGAGGCTTTGACAAACTATGTTGGTGCAGCTTAGGAAATAATTATAAATGAAGAGATGCAGGAGCAAAGAAGATGACTGTTAAAGCTGTTGGTCTGATGAACATCTGGAGAATCACAACAAATGACTGAAGGTATAAACCTTCTGTAACCCTTTTTGTCTTTTATTATTGTTTTTTCAAATATTCAGATTGTGAAAGCCTCTGCTTAATTTCCAAATGCTGATATGAAAATGTAATCTTGGCATCTCTATTATTTTAAGTAAAAAACAAAAATATAACGGCAGTACAGATTTGGGTTTGTTATTTTTATAATTGTTTTTTTCCTATTTTATCATTACTTATCATTAATCAGAAGTCAAGCAAAGGAATCATTCTTAGAAGTTAACTAAGATTAACTAAGATAATTAGAAATTTTGAGTGACAGGCTATTAATACTCTTCATCAGCTCCATCAAGAATATAACCTCCTGATGGTGTTTTATCATCTCTATAAATAATAGTACAGGAACTGTAACTGATTTCATGCCTGAATCCTCTCTCTTCATTCATGTGTTTCATCTTGAATACATGGCTCCTCAGTTGGATTCCTAAAGCACTTATCTCTGTAGAGCCAAATTCAGTTTCTAGTTTCAGTTCACTTGTAGTCCTGTCTAATGGGCCATCCTTTTCCTCTCCCCACTCATCTGGATTTTTTCTGGATGAGTGATTGAATGTCATTTGCATGTCTGCTTGACCTGCTGTAGCTGGAGATCTTCGAAACCCTCTGGTTTCTTCTGATCCAACACCCACACCTTCTTTCCTTAAAACATCTTCATTCTTGACTATACCTTTGGCTGTAAAATAGTTTTCTTCCTTGCGTCTTCTCTCATCTAACCTCTGACTAACAGGAAATCGATAAGCATAGGAACTTTTATGAATATTCATAACCTGTAAGTTTATACCTAACTCTACAGCTCCATGCACAGTCGTTTCCTGGGCTCTGAAAGGACACAGAATTTCACACTGACGTCCAAACCATTCAATAATGTGCTGCTGCAGTATTTTGCTCTGAGCGAACCCCCCCACTAACAGCATATAATTAATGTGGAGAACAGAGTCAAAGATTTCTATCAGGATCTGAGTGATGCCTTGCAGACTTTCATCAAAGAAAGACATCAGTCTGTCTCTTCTGATGTGGATGTAATAACCATAACAGAAAGCACCGAGGCCTGACTTAATGATGTTTTCTCTTCCTGCCTTTTTTTCAGCCAATAATCTCAGGTTTAATGGGAGGCTGAATTTAATACCTGTATCTGCTTGCTTGAGATGGGTAAATTCATACATGATTCCCTGAGCTAAACTGGGATAGTTTTGTTGAAATTCATCCCAGACTCCATCAGGGAATATTTCTCTCAGAAATTGTTTAAATTTTCTGTTGACAGTTTGTCCTCCTAGGTTGTTTCCAGAGAACTTGTGCAGCTCCTTCAGGGCTCCTCCATGCTGGACTTCATGAACAGTCATGTCAATAGCTCCTCCTAAAAGGGACAGATGGGATCAATTTGTTTTAGTTCCCAACAGATTTAAAATAATAACCATCACATTTTATAATGTTCCTGAGTCTAAAGATGTTAAAAATGTTTAGTGATTGATTCAATAACTCAATGAATCAGAATCACAGACATTACCTCCACAGTCAACAACAATGTACCGAGTCCCTGGAGACTGATGCAGTGACTTGATGTGGTTCTTTAAGATGAACTCGTCTGGTTGAAGCTTCATACACCAGATAAAAGCAGCTTCTGGCTCTGGAACAATAAGCAGATTCTCCTCCCGTCCTTCTGTTACTATACCTGCCTACAAAGAAAAAAACTGTCATCCTTCTGAACACCTATGAACGCCATTGCTCTCTGTATAATCTGGTTTTACCTGTTTTGCAGCTTCAATCATGAACTGTTTATCTGACTCATCCCAGATGGCAGGAACAGTGAGAACCCAGGTGAAGAAAGAGGGATTGAACGCCATCACCCTTGTCATGGAACTGATGGTTTTTAGAGCGTCATCCTTCAGAAATCTCAGGGACTCTGAGAAAACTTTTAGTGCCTCCAAAGGTTTCCCGCTGGCATCTTTAATCTTCAGATCACTGAGTTTCTGGAAATGTTTATTTAGATCATAGATACAGCAGAGCATTGATTATACTCCTGATGTATTTTGAATCATTTTAACCAACATTTTAAGAAAAAAATAGTTTTTTGATGGCAGCTTTGTACATTTCCCTTTAATGTTCTCAGGTTACCATTTTTAAAAAATGATTGATCTACATCATGTCTCCTTTTTGTTCTCTTCTGGTGTCAAAAAGTTTTATCAAACTTAATCAGAATTTATATTAAATTAACTCTTAACTAAAGATCAACTCCGATGTAATATGCAGAAATCATTGTATTTGCATACCCATGTGTTTAAAAATGTTTTTTATTCTTTAATTTGCAACAAAAGACTCTATTGCAGTGAATAATTATGCAATGCTCAGCAGGTGAATATTAAGCTGAAGTTTAACTTAAATTGAAGCATTTATGAGTGTAAATGTTAAAGCACATAACTGTCCAGTAATGTACTGTACTTACTTTCTTGTAGAGAGTCATCTTAAAGTCTTCAAAGAAATAATGTTTCTTTGCTTCTTCTCCCCTCATGTCCTTGAATTTCATTTGGGCTTCATAACCAAAACTAAGAAATGTTTTATCTTCATTAAACAAAATGCAGGTTGGAGTCTTTGGGGTCTCTAATCCATACTCTTTCCCCCATCTTTTCAAGCGAGGGTCACTTTCTTCCCCTCTGGCACTGATATTAAAGGCATATCCGCTAAATGCTGTCCCAAAGTCTATTGCTATGACACACAAGTCATCCATTGCAGAAGTAAATTCTGTTTATTCAAGGAAAAGATGAATGTCAGTGTGCCACGAAGCATCAGTCAGACAACATTTATACATCTCTCTGTAAACCACGCCCACTACTTGTATAGGAGCATTTATTTTTAGGCCATTTGACAACGTGTAAATATGCTGTTTCAGTAAAAGGCCTTTTTCATACTGACCAAGATGCAAAGAATACAGGGGACAGAATATATGAACGGAAACCCTTACACACAGAAAATAATGGAAGAGCAAAAGGTTAGGGCAGTGATTTTCAACCCTGGTCCTCAAGGCATCCTGCTCTGCATGTTTTGGGTGTTTCTGAGGTTCAGCACCTGATTCAGATGATTGCAGTTCAGCAAAGCCTGATAATCTGCTATCAATTGATAACAGGTGTGTGGAAGCTGGGAAACATCTACAACAGGCAGGGCTGGGTGCCTTGAGGACCAGGATTGAAAAACACTGGGTAAGAGAACAGTTTAGGCATCAGAGAAGCTTGGCAATAAAATCTTTTTCCTATTTAGAGCACGCAACTCAGATTTACACACCGATTTAAACACAAATAGAAGGCCAGTGCCAAAAGAGAAACACACAAACACATTCCAGTTAGTGCACGCACACACATTCCATGTTACAAAAGGAAATAAATACAGCTGAGATGGGTGCAGCATTTCTGTGGAAATAACTTTGGGACGAGTGTAAGCTCTGACTTGTGAATTTTAGTCAGAATGTTGGAATTCAACTTGTTCATAAACGGTTTCCCCCCATCCGTTCGGACAGATGGACTGAATCGTCTTTAGTGTCTAGATTTTTTGTATTAATGAGAATTCTACCATTTTTAGCCCCAACACTTGTACTCTACTTCATCATCTGTTCATCTTTCTTAGAACAAACTAAAATAGGCTCACACCTATATGATTTCTTGTTTAATTCAGCTCTCTCAATGGAAAAGTTTTTTTTTATGTGATAAAAATAAATAGAACGGGAAGAACATTTCATTTAAAAAAATGATTACTCAAATAACTGAAATAGTTGAAATCTTTTAGACCACTTGATTTAGTCCATCTTTTTAGGCTGTTAAAAGTATATCTCAAAATTAGCCATATTTGAACCCCATTGTATATACAAGATTTATATATAACCGTGAGGATTCTTAGTCATCCAGGTCATGGTCAAGATTGGAAAGTTCAGTTTAGGCAACTGGAGGTAAGTTTCTCAGAAGACATTTCACCTCTCATCCAAAAGGGTTCTTCAGTTCTAACTGGTGTTGGGGGCACTGGAATCAATATGCTGTAGGTGTAAAAAAATCATTAGGGGAGGGGGAAAACCAAAACAAACAAAACAAAAGAAAGCTCTGATTTCTCATATTGGATGGGTAATGGAGATCACCTGGGGTGTGTTTATCAATCTGACTGTATAATCTGGTTGAGTTTACCCTGTAATGTGTTGTGAATTGGCGCTATATAAATAAACTGAATTGAACTCATGGCCCTTATGGGGTTCTAATGGGGGGTTAACTGCCCGACCAGAGTAGTTTCAGTCACATGCCTCATTAAAGTGAGAGTCACGTGGAGAATCTTCTGGGTATTGTTCCTAAAAGTGCTTTGTAAGTAGGTGAAATCTTATGTCTAAGACCACCTCCTCTGTTGAGCGATGTTTTTTCTAGGTTAAAAAGATGGCTTCCTTAACCCCTTTCTCAAACCAGCTGTCTTCCTCTGTCAGAATAAGGACATTGTTGTCCTCAAAAGACTGTTGGTGAATGGCTGAGTCCTTTCCTGTAGAGCTGTCCTTCCCATGTTGAGCCATACACCTATGTAACGGTGTCTTGGTCTCTCCAATGTACAGGTCTGAGCACTTAAAAAAAAAGATCTGGGATAACCATAGTTCTTCAGGGCTTCCTGATATGTCCCTGCCCTCTCATCTTCCCTATGCTGGTATTGGGAATGGTTTCTGCTCGTGTGTGGAGGGTTCTGATGACGCCTGCTTTGAGTTCCAGTGTGTGGTGTGAGTCAAAACTCCACATAAACATCTACAGGAAACCTACAAACGGAGGTCAATGAAGAGAAGCCAGGATAGGAGAGATATTATCTCTCTTTTTCATTTTCATCAGAACTCTGGCTGCAGCATTTTGGATCAGCTGAAGGCTTTTAACTACAGTTTGTGGACTTCCTGATAGTAAAGAATTACAATAGTCCAGCCTTGAAGTAGGGCTGGGCGATATAGAAAAAAAGCTTATCGATAAAAAAAAATGCA